AGGCCTCTATCCATTAACACTTCATATTCTTCATATGGATAATTTGGTGCCATGCATTCAAATTGCTTAAGATACTGTTCCTTGACGTAATTTGCATCATATCCAGAAATCTTTCGAAGAGCATTCTGAATTGGTTTTTTGATAAAAAATGCATGACGTTTTATGCATTCTTTAGGAATATATTTTCTATAATCTGACTCCACTGTTTCTCTCGATACTTTTTTCTCTAACATTACCCTGTGAAAAATATTAGAACAATTTATACTGACATAATTTAAACATCAAACATCATTATGTAGTTAAAATGTATGAATCATGTTAAGATAAATTACTTTGAAAATATTAAATTAAAGTTTTTTTAAAGATCAAGCAATACTAAATCTATTACATAAAAAGTTATGCATATACATTCAAACTATGCAGTTTGCATGATTTTATTTGATTAAAAACTCAAAGATAAATGATTTCTTAATTCAACTGTGTATACCTGTACATATCACACACACCAAGACCGATTAGTTCTTGTTTATGCCTGTCATAGACAATATCTGGAACTTTATTATCCATAACATCTGAACGTGCTTGTTGAAAATAATAGTCATAGGCATTTGTATCTATATGTTGTAATCTACGCAAACTTGAAGGTTTAAACCTAAGTCTCAAGTCAAATTTATGTATGTCTTTTGATTCTATACAATGTGCTAATGGGTACCAAAGTTTTGTATAGTGATTTCTAAGTGCAAATAGATGTCTGGCAACTGGTCCTATGCCTATACTTTTACAAACCTATAAATCAACATGTTGCACTTACAAAAAAGAAATATAATTGATAACATTAATAATACTACAATACATAGGATAAAATATATTGATATATATTCATTGGTCTACTGTACTAAATCATAATTGTTTGGTTAAAGTTAATGTAAGTCTTTTTATGTACCATTTTACAATGTTTAGATAGAACAAACATTGGTTACTTAATCATTTACAAATTTAAATATTTGCACAAACACAACATAGTTTTCGTTGCTTTTAAAGATGTCAAAAAAGAGATTAAATTTGACTTTTAAATAATAAAAATAACAGAGAAACGTACATAACCTTTGAAAATCGTTTACCTTGATACAGAGATCCTCAATTGTTTGACCATATTTATATGAAAAAGTTAATTCCTTTTTTTCGTTTGCAACATAAACGATCGCCAGTCGATCGTTTTCCATTGTTAGTACATGTATACGCTCTTTTCACATTTTGTTATTTGGATCATAAACCTAACAATTGTTTACATATTTACAACACGAATACGCAACACTGCGCATGCTGATAGGATTACATATGTATGAAGGCTACATGCATACAACATACTGTACATACATATAAAATTACCAACTTGTAGACATTGATCATAAATTAGATACATAGATACGTTTAACTGTTAAATTATCTTATTTCCAAACATTATAACAACTAGAACAAAATATAGCTTCAAACAATACGTATTTGTAAGATTTATAATGTCAATGAAAAAAATTAATACAAACATTATGTAAAGTTACGTAATATTAAAAGAAATGATAAATAAATTTAAATTGTATTAAAACAATTTTATTAATAAAAATTAAATGTAACATATCTGATTTAAACACTCCATCAGCAGTTTATTTTTTAATATGATAAGATAAATTTCAAATTAACAACAAACCTATTTTACCGATCGATAAACTTCTAAAATATCGGTAACTATGAGTGTGACACGGAAATGGTAATGGAGCTTCTGATATTAAATATTAAATTCAATTATAAGTATGAGTTTAAATACGTTAGAATCAATTAGTTTATTTATACACACCCTATTTGCTGTATCAAAATTTTTCACGAAAATCAGGGGAACGAACACATCTATATATATTATACACCGTGGCAGGCACTGTCCTTGTCCTTATAGTTTATAGTTTTATAGTTTTATAGTCCGTGGTTTCTTCAAAAATGGGTTACCTTATTAATATGAGTGATTGTGGACTGGGTTATCAAACATACGAAATGTTTCCTGCAGCGTGTACGATTACAGGCGTTAGTTAAAGCATTAGTAATGCGCAAGTCACTTGATAAGTATGCGATTTGCGACTTGTATTATCTCTGTGTCCTTGCATCGTAGCTGGACAATTATCACGATAAGTAGGACGGTTTTGACAAGGAAACTTGGTTAGTTGAACTGTTGCGGAAAATATAAGGGTACCCTGTTTTTGTAGTCACTAATAATAGGACGTTCTTCAAAGATGAATGATGCATGAAACAGGCTTTTGACGAACGTGAAAGTGGTTAAAGTATAAATTAAAAAATGAGCTGGTTACGGAATAGCCCGCTGAGGACTAGTTTCAGCAAGCAACGATCGAGAGACTCTCCGCCAAAAGACGCAGATCCGTCGGCCTGCTATGACAGTTTCTGTAAACATTGGCAGCAAGCTTATGAAATCATTTTGTACACATCTGTGAGTTCAATTTTTTAAGCTTCAGTGAAATTAGAAAGTGTTTCAGATGATGCTTTGTGTTGTGTGTGTTTTTTTGTTTAATTCTTTCATGAAAGAGGAAAATGACATCATATTCGAAATTAAATACATCATTAAATTTATGTAGCCACCTAAGGGAATACCTACACAGGATGATGTTCTTGGAGTTGTCAATCACATAGATCATATGGTAACTCTTTTAATATTGGAGTTACGAGATTCTCGGACTTTCAACAATTATCGGCAATCACCAGCAGCAACTCACTCTCCTTGTTTGGAGTATTTGTTAAGTGAAAACCTCCTTGTCAAGCTGTACGACTGGAGCATACATACCGGAAGGTAAATATTTTTTAAATAGTATACATAAGAAATAATCTTATCGTTATAAGTACTGTTTACATGTTTTACTGAATTGAAGTATTAAAACATTCACTGCTATCATTTGTGACAATAGCTTTTATAGTTACAATGTTTTATCAAAATGGTTATCTATTTTCTTTATAAGATTAAATACGTGTAACAAGAGAGAATTATTATGATTTAATGTGTTATACGTGCATAAAACTGTTAGTGAATGTTTTAATTACTTAATACTTAATCATTAGCTAGTCTATAAAATTATAAATGAAAAAAGTTTTTTTCTATTTACTCTTATACTTATGTATTTAACAATCACTGTCTTTTAGATTTATAATGCAACAAGGTATTATTTTATACTATGTCACTAGGTTTAATTTATTTTTATATATCTATTTTACCATCAATGGACCTATCATCAGATTTTTAATTAATGCATGCTACAGAAACAACCTGTTACATAAACCCTAATAGTATTTTATTTTTAAATGTGGATTATTATTTCAGATTTAACAATGCTGTACGGTTGGAGCAATTAAAACTTTATGAACTTTTAGTATCACATAGTAGTATTCTTCTTGCCCATGAACCAATTGCCAGACCATTGTTACGATTGCTCGAAGATTGTGCAAATGATATAATGCCATTAGAAGTAGAAAAAAAATTGGTAGTGTTATTAAATCAATTATGCGTAACTTTAATGCAGAACATGGCATTACTTGATTTATTTTTTCATCCAACAGCAGTAGGAAAAAACAAGTTGGTAGAATATGCATATTCTTTTTTAAAAGTATTATATCAGTTATCTTTAATGTGGGTATACTTTTTCAGATTTATTATCTTTACATTATTAATACCACATGTACATAGAGAAGGTGGTGTAGGACAGCAAGCACGTGATGCCATGTTACTCTGCATGTCTCTTTCCAAGAAAAATGATGAAGTTGGAGTATATATTGCAGATCATTCTAATATATGTCCTGTATGTATTATTTATATGAACATTAAGTCAGTTCGAAAAAAGAATTTAAATGTTCTGTAATATAATTTTTATTTAATTAGGTGTTAGCAACAGGTTTGAGTGGACTGTATTCACTACTGCCTAGAAAGTTAGATATTGAGACAAATGATTGGCATAGATTGACACCAGATGATGTTAATGATTTACCAGCATTAATGCATCTAATGAATTCTTTGGAGTTTTGTAATGCTGTTGCACAAGTAGCACATCCTTTGGTCCAAAAACACTTGTTAGAATTTTTATACCATGGTTTTCTGGTACCTGTAATGGGACCAGCTTTGTTACAGGTCAGTATTCACATACTTGTTATTGTTTGGATTAATTAGAAACTCGAATATGCTTTTATAATATAGAGTCTCCAAAGGATTTAAGTAATTACATATGCAAATTCTTTAAAGTATGTTTCTTACAATTTATTTTTACGGGCTATTTTTTACATTATATTTGCATGTGGTGAAAGAAGGTACTTATAAGATATTTAAATGCAAAATGCTGCTGGCTAATTCGTCTAATGTTAAATTCATGAAATTATATTTAAGTAATATTGTGAATATTTTTTATTACATATTTAATTTATTCAAATTTTTCATATATAATTTTTTATACTCTCTATTATATAGAATTGATAT